GCTGAAACAAAGAAGGATCAGTAGGTGGAAAATATTGTTTTGGTGATGGATACGATGCTGGAGATTGCATGATATAATTTTGCAAGACTTACTCATTACAAACAGGTTTTTAAAACATTAAAAGGTGATTATATACATGAACCTCACCAGATTAAATACATATAAATCAAATTGACTATAACTGTGGAAAGAGATAAATGAAAAGCTCAATATTACCATCCAAAACAAGGCCAGGGGCAGACTGTGGAACAGACCATCAATTGCTCATATGCAAGTGCAAGCTGAAGCTGATGAAAACTAAAACAAATCCCCAGGAGCCAAAATATGACCTTAAATATATTTCATCTGATTTTAGAGACCATCTCAAGAAAAGATTTGATGACTGGACACTATTAATGGAACACAAGAGAGGCTGTGGGAGGACATCAAGAACACCATACAAGAAGAGAGGAAAGGTCATTAAAAAGACAGGAAAGAAAGGCAAGACCAAAATGGAAGTCAGAAGAGACTCGGACACTTGTTCTCCAGGGCAGACAGGCTAAAGCGAACGGCAGAAAAGAACAAGTAAAACATCTGAACAGAAAATTTCAAAGGACAACTTACTTGAGAAGACAAAGAATTTTAATGAAATGTGCATAGACCTGGGGTTAGAAAAACAAAAAGGAAGAACACGCTCAACATTTCTAAACCTGAATGAATTTAAGAAAAACTTCAAGGTTCGACTTGAAATACTGAAGGAGTCTATGGGTAAAATGCTGAATGATGCAGAAAGCATCCAATGAAGATGAAAGGAATACACAGAATCACTGTACTGAACACATGGTACTAAACAGAAATGGCTGATGTTCAACCATTACAAGAGGTAGCATAGGATCATGAACCAATGGTACTGAAGGAAGAAATCCAGGCTGCAGTGAAGGAACTGGTTAAAACAAGTCTCCAGGAATAGAAGGAATATAAATTGAAATCTTTCAAACAAAGTGATACAGCACTGTAGGTGCTCACTCATCTATGCCAAGGAGTGTGGAAGACAGCTACCAGGCCAATCTATTGGAAGCAATTTATATTTGCACCCATTTCAAAGAGAGGTGACCTAACGGGATATGGATATCATTGAACAATATCATTAATATTACATGCAAGTAAAATTTTGCTGAAGATAATTCAAAATAGTACACTGATAGAAGTGCCAGAAACTCAAGTAGGAACCAGAAGAGGCTGTGGAACTAAGGATATCATTGCTGGGGTTTCTGGATCATGGCTAAAAGAAGAGAATATCAGAAAGAAGATTACTTGTGTTTTATTAACGATGCAAAGGCTTCTGAGCTGCGGATCATGACTAGCTATGGACAATACTGTGAAGAATGGGTACTCTAAAACATTTGATTGTGTTCATGAGGAACCTGTATCTAGACAAAGAAGCAGTCGTTTGAACTGAATTAGGGGACACTGAATGGTTTAAAATCAGGAAACGTATGAGCCAGGGTTGTATCCTTTCACCACACTTATTCGATCTGTATGCTGAGCACATAATCCGAAGAGCTGGGTTATATGACAAAGATGTGGCTTCAGCATTGGAGGAAGACTCATTAACAACCTATAATATGCAGATGATACAACCTTGCTTGCTGGAAGTGTTGTTGGTAAGTGCCAGTGAGTCGGTTCCGACCCACAGTGACCCTGTATAGGGTTTCCAAGGAGCGGCTGGAGAGCTTGAACTGCCAACCTTGCAGCTCAAACCAACATTGCAGTCCAGTGCATTAATCCACAGCATTACACCAGGAAACAGAGGACTTAAAATACTTCCTGATGAAAATTAAAGACTATAGCCTTCAGTTTGGACTGCACTTCATTGAAAAGAAAATGAAACTCCTCACCACTGGACCAATAACTAATATCATTATGAATGGAGAAAAGATTGAAGCTGTCAAAGATTTCCTTCTGCTTGCATTCACAATCAACACTCATGAAGCAACAGTCAAGCAATCAAATGATGTACTGCATTAGGCAAAACTATTGAACAAGCTGCAAGCCACCGCATAACATGGATGAACCTTGAGGACATTATGTTGAGTGAAATTAGTCAGTCACAAAAGGAGAAATACTGCATAGGACCACTACTATAAAAGAC